TTTCTTGACGAGAGGATGAATCCACAGCACTTGGTATTATATTCCAATAGCGAGTCACCGCGCCGGTCATTAATCCTAGCAACCTGCCATGTTTCCTTAATTGACACGTAGTTTGCGGTGATAGTCAACTTCGACCGCTCGTAATTCTTGTCGTAAATGCACCAATACATCTCAATGTCGCTGCCACTACAATCATTTGTACATAGTCGGTGTCAGAATATGTCACTTTTGTGGTTTCAGTGTGGCAAATGGAAACATCATTAAATTCCTCTGCTTTAGTGACATAGGCTGGAGTGGTGGCCACGAGTGCTAGAGAAGCCTCCTCTTCATCCTCCAGCGCGGTAAGAACTGACGCAAGCTGCTGTGCTGTCCGTGATACCTGCTTCTTCTTGTTCCTCATAGAAGCGCCCTCTGCAACTGGAAAATACTCTCTGCCCTCCGAAACATCCTCTGCCGATGCTTGAGCCATTGAACCTTCTGGCACAGTGTCACACGCTGGTCGCTCAGTCTCAGAGACTGCTTCATCCTCTGGAACGGCCTGAGGAGCTGTAGTGTTGCGACGTGACCGTCGCAGTGTGCGTGGCGGCAGCTCGAGCAGCAGCTCGAGCCTTCTTTCGAGCGCGCAATCGTTTTGCGGTTGTGTTCTTCTTCTTTCTTTTGTTTATGCGTGGGGAAGCATGCTTCGTAGCAGCAGCAAGTAGAGACGACATGTTGGGCTCCATCCTCGAGTTCCTACCAGGCGTGTCACTTAGCGTCCTCCTTCCCTAGCAGAAACTGCAGGGCAAAGTCAGATCGGCTAGCCTAAGCGACTTCCTTGGAGGCGTTTCAAGGACTGAGGAAAAGTCCTTTAAAGAAAGTTCTACCTCTGTTATAACATAGAATTGTCAGTTTGATAAAATATGTTCAGAGGCAGGGAGGCTGTTGAAGTAGCCTCTAAACAGTTTGATTACCTTGACCTAGTCACTCAAAGATATTATAATGAGATTTAAGGAGGTCCTGTTTAAGTCGGTATGACTGGCTTAAACTATACAAACACTAATGGCTGGTGTACAGCTATTGGTGGCTTCCTAATACTAATAAAGTTCTCACTTCGTCTTTTGACGCCTACAAGCAGGCAAGGAAAAAAATCAATTTGAATCGATTTTTTCGATAATCCTTCATTGCAGTATGCATTGCAGTTGGCTCTTCAGGTGCATTTTGGTATTGCAATTTTGGGGAGGCATGCAATCGGGTATTTTAATTGCAGTATTCAGATTGCAATAATCTAGCGCTAAGTACGAAGTATCTTGAAGTCTACCTTGAAGTTAGATCTTCCTCCGAGGTCTTGTCCGTCCAAATTTTCTAGTTTAAGGTATAGCGTGTGCGGAAGAGATTACTAGTCTACCTGTGGAATAGGTTATTTCTCAAAAGTGCACCAAAAGTTTCATTCCTGAATCCTCTCAGTCGCAGAAGCACAAACACTCCCTTGGTGTACCTCACCAATCTCTACAATGGCCCTCTCAAAAAATAAAGCCAGACGTGACGGAATGCCTGCGTCGATCAAGTACTACTTCGACACTACGTGTCGGTCAAGAATGTCACCGTGGCTTCTGCTCGCGGGATTTCTGACGCTATTCTGCAGGACTATCCGGAGATGAGCCATCACCTTGCACAAGACGCCTCCATTGTGCACGATCCTGCCTTCGAAGCAGCAATAACGAAGGTCCTTAACGACACCACAGGAGATTTGTCAACCAGAGAGAAAGCAGTTTGAAGTTGAAACAGCCCCCCCCCCGTCTAGACGCATTGCACACGGCGAAATGGTCGACTACTACTACCAGATACAAGAGCGCAAGCGCCTGAAAATGACTAAGACAACGGCATATGAGAACCTCAGCTTCATGAAAGGAACATCCGTAGCAGTTGAGAGGTTGTATAGTGCAGCTAAGTACGTGATGACGGACCGCCGATCCCGCCTGACTCCTGGCATGTTCGAAGCCATTATGTTTCTCAAGGTAAACTAGGATTTCTGGAACTCACGTCTTGTTGCCAAAGCGATAAGAAAGTCACACGATGGTGAGCAAGTGTTAATCGCGATTACTTAGTGCAGTTGAGCATTGCAGGTTATTTCGCAGTTTATATTGCAATCTCATCGATACCTGCAGTATAGCATTTTGATTGCAATTTTTTTCCGGCGGATAAACCAATTTATTTTTTCCCTTCCCTGCTTACAAAAAACGTCGTCTTCTTCTCTCTACTTCTTCTCGACCTGTCACGAGCTATACTAATGAACAAATTTTCATCCTTGGTTTTGAGCGGATCGGCGTCCCATCTGTAGTACACCGTGAGATCAGGTGTGGGACTCCATCGAGCCACCGACCTCCGTCAACACGTGCTGGAGGTCATAGATGTCAGCATCATCGTCCAAATCAACGCGGCCCTTCTGGTATGTCTCCCCCGCTCCCAACCACCAGCCGAAACCAAACTCTTACACAACAGCGGCAAATTATTGAATAGCGAGGGGGGGGGGCGAGCAATTTTTACAACCACCACTCACCGCTGTCATGATGATGTGTTTTTTTTTTTTTTTTTCAAGTAGTCATTCCCAATTTAAACAGGATAATCCGTGGAAACTAGCGAATCGATCATCAACGTTTATCGAAGTAAGTCCCATTTTTTTCAATTTTTTCCATCGAAAATATTCATGAAGAATCTTTAACGACCCAGTCATTGAATCGAGTAAAAGGATGATATCATCCTTAATTAACAGTCACCATTAAAACACTAAGGTGTCGCTTACCATCAATCACTCATTTTTATTATTACAGCTGCAGAATGATGGTCAAAGCTACAATTTTCGAGATCGGTTGCCATTATTTTTCTTCTCAATGTCAAGTGATTTGTATGCCGCGTACAAGCGGCAAGAGCGGCAACGACTGAAGCGGAAGCGAGCGAAGCATCCGGGGTTTAATCGAATTACCAGACAGAAAACAGCAGAGTTATATCTCGTGTCTCTCATAAATCAAGTCACTGATGAAAGTGTGGACCTGAGTGTAAGGCTGAAGACGGCAGTGGACATGAGAGATAAGATATCTCACCTGGATGTGAATGCGGTCATGAGACTGATGACAGCTCATCAGGATCTGGTGGTGAAAGTGGCCGATGCACTGCTGCACACGTCCTACGTTCCTTTGCAGCAATTGTTGCTCATGTCGCTGACGACTTTGCTGCGTACTCTGAATTCAAGACGCAGTGAGCACACTGCCATTGTGCGAGAGCAATTTCGCGACAGTATAGGACACTTGGACAAAGTTTTGCTGAGTGCTTTGCCAGTGGACGAAGTTGTCGAAATAATAGACCCGGTACGTGATGATTGGGTGTAGAGAAGAGATCAAAGAAGGATGTGGACATTGGAGATGACGGTCGTGTTGTCGTTGGAGTAGGGAAGAGCGTTGTGGACGCGGAAGCAAGTGAATGCGCTTAATAAAAGTACCGACGTGTGTCGAACGTATACTATACGGAAGTGCTGGATCTCGTCTTGTGGTAAAGACAACTTGGTATGGCGTTGCGTAGTTTTATCAGAGCTAGTTGGCCTGTGGAGTGACTTATGTTTTTGTTATGTCGAGTAGATGCCGATTGCAGTTGACAAATGGCTTGATTTTGGAGGAACGATGTTGACATATTACCACCAGTTACCACAAGAGACCATTCTGTATAACATCCCGTATACTTGCATGGAGACACTCGAGTGCGATGGGGGCAGATATTTAGCATTGATATTTATCAAACAGGTATTCGGACTCCATGGGATCAACCTTGTTATCTTCATGGTGGACCCTATGGTACGCTTTGCATATTTTTCTAATTATTTTTTTTATTGATTCTAAGAAATGTTATTATGCAGGAATTTGACGAGTTGCGACATACTCTGCATTTTATCACACCCGACCACGCTACGAGAGTGTCGACTTCAAGTCCTGGACGGGTACGCAGCATCTAGTGGCAGGATAGTACTTTGGTGTGCTGTATATCCAATCTGACTCAGAATTGTATCTCCACTGTGCAGCGACGACTAGCACAAACCAAGTCGACGGATTCTCAGTCTCACCTCGCGCAACCCTCAAGTCCTTTTGTGCGTAGATTGCTCCAATCGACGCCAACGATATCTCCTATCGAAAGACGCGATAAATCGAAGTTTCAGCAGACAATTTCAGGGGAAATGTCTTCAAAATCGTCGAGTATTCCAGACGGAGATAGAGTGGAGACAGACACACTTCAGCCAAGGGATTGTGAAGAATCGACACAGATCAAAGCACGACGACAGTGTACGAGTGAAGCATCAAATGAAAATGACCATGGTCCCGTTCTCCGAGCTGTAGCCAATTCTAAGCCAGTGCGTCGAGCAATGGCGACAAGAAGCTTTACGCCTCCACACATATCATGGAACCGTAGTGTCTGGAACCGAATTGGCGACTTATTACAGGCCGCTATCAACGGATTGCAACGACATCCTTTTCTAGCACCTGCCACCACCAACGACTTGACAAGAGCCAAAGCACAGTGCCTCAGAGACCTAAGAGAAAGCTTGGGATATGTTGACCCTGAACCTGTTGCAATGATGCGCTTCTCTCACTGTTTGGTGATCGTGATAGCAACTCTAATTATTGTACCTTGGGGGCTGTTGATGATGCAAATGTGCGCTTCGTAACCCCGAGCCGTACAAAATGAAGGACCAAAAGCTCATTTAGGACAAGTGTTAAATAGCACCAGTTTGTTTGGCTTGAACATACCAAAAGTATGTCATTTTTATCCGACGTGTGTGCTCTTGTGTCGTATGTCCTTCAAGCATGAACAGAAATGGATCTTGACGTCGGCTTCACTTCTTTATAAATGACACACAACAACAAAATTATAAGTTATAGGACAAAAAAACGGGTTTTTGCAGAAACCTTTAAATATAATTGCCGACTTTTGAGTGTAAGAGTCCGTATCCAAAGGTGACTCGTCATATTCTAGCGCGTATGCGATCCGCCGTGAAGGATAATGGCGCCACAGATCTCCATACCTTGCAAGAGGAGCTGAAAAAGCTCGGCATCAGTGTCGTCTCTGGTCGTCAGGATACTGTCATCTCAGTCAAGATAAAGGGTCTCGCTGGTCGTGCTCTGATTCGAGGGCTGAAATTGGCTGACCAACTCCTTCAGGAGAAGATCAAACACGCCATCAAAGCGTGCACAGACCCAGCGACCAAACTCTTTATCGACCCGACATTTGGACCGTTTAGTAGTGATCCAGATGGAGCAGCAGCGATGTGCAAAGCTGGAGGAGTTATCCCGTCTAAAGGGGGGTCGCAACATCAAGCAAAAGTCCTTGGACTATTGCAGCGAGGGAAAATCCGCTGGGAACGACCGAGTTATGCTTCAGATAACGAGGAAGACGACAGGTACGGCTATGTTGCATATATGTTGGTTTTTCTTTTATGATTAAATATTATTTTTGAAAAGTCCGCAGGAAGACGAGGATGATATTTACTCCATGTCGTCTAGTGATAATGTATTCGCATCAAATGCAAAGCTGTTCGCTGATGGAGTGTCATCCGGAGACGTGATTCAGGGAAATCTCGGCGATTGCTGGTTTTTGAGTAAGAATCTGATACTTAACAACTTCATGAACTAGTCTTTATTTAAAAAAAAATGTGGCTGTTTATCCAGGTGCATTGAGTGTGGTTGCTACACGGTCGGACTTACTTGAGCAGACATTTTGGCGACGCGATGAGCACAAGTCGAAAGGACTGTTTGTCTGCAAATTCATGAAGGTTGGCGATGCTCTTCTCGATATTGTTTAGAAACCCTTTTAAGCTGTTATTTTCCTGATAGAATTTTGTATGGAACTACGTTCTTATCGACGACCGCTTGCCAGTTTTCGGCTTCACCGACAAGAAGCCAGGCAAACCTTACTTCGCTCGCTGTCGTAATCCGGACGAGCTTTGGTAAAATAGTGACAGATTGTATGTCAATGTTTTTGTTTTAAACAAAGCTAACAATTATGATATAATTTTTGGATGACAGGGTCTCATTGTTAGAGAAGGCTTACGCTAAACTGCATGGAAGCTACGAGGCGCTTATCGGAGGCTTCGTAGACTGCGCTCTGAATGACTTAACCGGCATGTGTGCAGAGCAAATTATCTTGAAAGAAGGGTTTCCTGGGTTTGGTGAGAATCCTTATTCCCCTGCAAAACCGCTACAGAAGCACGGGGATCCGTTCTGGGAGAAAATTTCACGTTATAAGAATTCCGGGACTCTAATGGGGTGCTCCATTCAACCGCCTGTAACCTCCTCGAAAGAGGTCGCAGTAGAATCCAGCGCAGGAAATGGACTATACTTCAAACACGCATACGCGCTCGTGGATGCAGCAGAGATTAAAACAGCGAAAGGAGAAATTGTTCGACTAGTGAAGCTTCGGAATCCATGGGGAATGGGAGAATGGGTAAAACAAATTGAGAATCTCAATTTGTCAATTTGAGATAAAGCAGCGAGTGTATCAAAATCTAATTACTATTTTTTATTGTACTACAGACCGGACCTTGGTCCGATTCAAGTGATGAGCGTGCAGCGAATGAGGACGCTATTGAGAAATTCTTCAAGATAATGAGGCGAAAAGTGGGAGCGAATGCCGATAAGAGGGTGTTTATGACCTTGAACGTTCAAGGGATTGTTGGAGCTGATGAGATTTCCCAAGAAGAAGTGGTCGAGATGAACACAAACGACGGGACTTTCTTTATGTCTTTTGACGCCTGGATGCAGTCCTTTACTCACTTCTTCGCTGGCATCGGTAAGAAAAGTTTTTTTTTATTGGAACTTGTGAGTATTCTAATTCCTCTTTAGATTTTCCAGATTCCTGGCATGGTCGTCGGTCCGAGGGCAGCTGGAATGAAGCTAATTGTGGCGGGAATACCATGAAAAACACGTGGATAAACAACCCTCATTTCGAGCTGGTACTCGAGCAACGAGCTCGAATTTTTGCGTCTTTAAGCCAGGAAGATCCTCGTGGAAGTGCGAACCTCAAGATTGTACCAGTAGGTTTCCACATCTGCTCTCTTAGTCCAGTTGGCAACGACCCCAACAAGTTGGAGATCAGAGAACCCTCGAAGAAACTTGATGCGTATTATCGACTATACAAACCAGTCGATCGAGAGAGCTATCAGTCCGGCAAACGACCAGAACCTTTGCCACCCGCGATTATCCCCGGGACGGCCATCCCGGGAGTTGATGACGACGGCGTTCCACAAGCTGCTTACACGTTTAAACAAGCCGTTTCGGTAGGCTCTGTTGTTTATTATTTCTATTATTCTTCATCGTAATATTGATATTTTATTAGGTGGAAGCTACGATGGAACCGGGCAGGTATTGTATTATTCCCAGCATGTACATGAGAACGGTAAGGCATTTTTTTTTAGCTAAGCCTGTCGACTTAGCTAACTGTTGTATGATCCAGGATAAAGTTACTGGAGATACCAACGTTGGGAATTTCTGGATCTCGGTTTATTCGGATAAAGCTTTATTTCGCTTGGAAGGGGGTGAGAAAATCGTCGAAGAAGAGGAAGGGGAGGAAGACACGTTAAGTACGATCGGATCAAACAGGAATTTGACTGTCGGAGCAGCTATGTTGACCCGACAATTGTCGTCTACCAGCACTAGAAAATCGGATACGATTGTGGCCACTGGAAACGCAAATGCTGCTGAAAAGCGACGGAAATTTGAGAACGAAAAAGAAGAATTATTGCGACAAGCAAAGCGATATGGTATCGGACTCCGTGAATTGAGAGCAGCGTTTGCTAAGACGTCGAGAGTCTCAAAAGCGGAATGTCGACAGAAATTACAGAAATTGGGCTTCAATGTTGCAAGCTGGGATGATGAGAAACTTGGATTACTGTTCGGAGGACTGGACCAAGTGTCAAAAAATGGGATGATTCAAAGTGACCGAATTCTGACGTTATTTACTCCAGATATCCAGGAAGAGAAAATGGCATGTGAACTCCCAGACATGGAAGAAGACGGAGACACTCCGGATAGTATACATCGAGAAGGTGTTCTCGAGATCGAACTACACGGAGTCAGTGGGCTTACAGTTGGTGAAAAACGACAGTCTTTTATGCAACGCAAGGTGGCGATTCCAGCGCCTACGTTCTCAATGGCACATACTTGTATTCGACGAAAAATCGCGATAGAAATACTGGAACGAGATCCATCGATGGCGTGGCATCTTCGCCAGTTTGCAAAGAAATCGACATTGTTAAGTCAGTATACTTTGAAGCAAACCCGCGATGGTTCTATGCGGTCTTCGGTACAGGTTCTTACCCCCGTGACGGCGTTTTACGAGCTGTTGGACAAGGAGTATGCAGCTCGGGTTATGTCTCGTTTGACCGTGCAAGATAAACTCGAGTACGTCGTCCCTGTCGGTCGAATATCCAGCTACTCCAAGCGAGATGGAGCGTCTTCGTTCTACCCTACGGTATCTTCTCGAAGCTCTCCAGTATGGAATCTACCCCCTACACCGTCAAGCGCACTGGAACTACATAAGAGCAACCATATCCGAGATCTCGAAGCTAAGCGATCAACAAAGCTTGCGTTGCTACTTCAGCACAAACAACAAGCACTTGGCGACGTGGAGAAAACCGCCGCTCTACCTCGTTTAATTGGAGGCCGGAAGAGTGGCTCCAGCCATGTCAGGTGTGTCGATTGTGGAGCTCGAGTACGTGTTGGAGGCCGGTCGAAGACTGGCGTGTCCGACGATGTTGACAGCTGTCCGTGCAACGGAGCGAACTGCGTCAATGTGTTTTGCTCGGTCTGCTACTCACTGCTTCCTACTAAAAGCAAGTTGTGTGAAGAGTGCTATCAACACGAAATAGCTTTGGAAGAGAGGTTCGGTGAACAACTTCGAGGCGTGTTGATTGAGAAGGTCGGAGCGTCAGACCAACAACGTTCTCATCTTGAACAAGTCTTTTGTTCTTTCGATGTGGATGAATCCGGCTCATTAAGTCCTCAAGAGTTTGAGAAAATGCTTCAAATGTTGAATATCCAACCTGCACTCACGCAAGCACAGAATGCGTTTCTAATTGAGCAGTTCGACGCGAATGGTGATGGTGAAATCAGTCTAATCGAGTTCAAACACTGGATTCTACGAGATCACGTTTGGGTGGAATCTGCAGAACCGTTAAACCACGAGATCGTTTCTAACCCTGCAGATGTTATGAGTACTGTGATTACTCCTTTATGCGATGAGATCATTGAGTTAGCCTACAACGCGTATACATTCAGCTCGACGATTGAATCGTGGTCCCGTTCGACTAGTAGCACAACGGAATGGCATACTAACACCTCACAAAGTGGGGAAACGGGAGTTCTCATCTTCCAGCGTGTTGTCAAGCTCAGTGTCGCTTCTAGTGGAGACGCGAATGTAGCGGAGAAAGTGTTCGAAAAAGTGGATGATGACGGGAGCGGAAGTATCGATCAGTTCGAATTCGTGGACTTGCTGTTAGCATGGGGATCCACCTCACTCTGAAGAATGCTGTGTTACTTATGAATCGA